CCCCATCATTCAATTCGGTGTTTCTCTCACTATCTCAATTTTACATCAAAGCATCGTCAGTGGCTTTGGTTAACATCGACCAGTATTGCTCTTATCCGATCCGTATAATCCATTCTCGTTACCATGCTGGCAACGCTTCGAACGTATATGCGTTGGAGGACGTTGTAATCCTTTGTCTGTGCTTGACAAGTACGATAATACAGCAGCGATAGGGTTTTAACGGCAGTTTTTGCGAAATAGATCGAGGGAGTAAGCTCAATCGGAATAATTATCTCGATGTTGAAATAAACGTAATACCGCGATATTTTTCAAGTTACAATACACAGTTTTTAATGGTTGATTCCTCTTATTTTATTATGATATAAATTTTATTTCATTACGAACACAAAGCTTTCAAGTTTAATTAAAATTCTATGAATAAATTGATGAAAATGTAAATTGATTTCTTCTCATATAGATAGGCAATATTAAAGATATACATTAAGTATTAAGATATACATAATTGATAACATTGAGTAATCTTATGTAGATTCATGTAACAATTCTTGTTTTCCGCAATGTGTAAAACATGAAAGTGCGAAGCTCACACGTGTGTGTGTGTGTGTGTGCGTGTGCGTGTGTGTGTGTGTGTGTGTGGAAGATAAAATAGAATCAAAGTACATGCATATATAACGAGTAAAGAACACGGAGAGCAAACGATAGCTCATCGATATTTTATATTAAAGATATGAATAAACATAACGTGATACATCTTGAAATTTTTATTCTTTTGCATCTCGATAAATCACGTTTGATTCATCTACTCAACCATAACAATTTCGCGGAAAATATATATTTATCTTTATTACGAGCATCGTCAGGTACATGTTGGTGGTGAGACGCAAAACGCGAAACGCAATTATGTTCAACCTTTCTTGAACGGCAATTTGATTCGAGAGACCAGTGAGAGCTGCATGTAATTGCGCGGGTTGAATTTTGCATAAAAAGGTGGTCTTTTCTCTAATAAATAAAAGTACCGGAAAGTTTTGGTCGTCTACAGCAATTATTTCGACCAAATTAATGCTTATGAAATTGTGCGCTTGAAGGTTGATTTAATCTTATAATCAGGTTAGTGCTTAAGACAAAATCCTGATTTACATATCCTTCTCATCGATTTTGCATATTTTCCGTATCCTCGTATTTTTCCTATCTTGAAAAGAACACTAGAATTACAGATTCTGCATTCTTATAAATTTTTATGCTTTACTAATTTTTATTCATCTTTGATCGCTCTCGCGTGAGTAATATTGTTTCGTTAAATGTGTTAGGTTTTCGTTAACAAAACAGAAAATTTCTTTTATATATTATTATAAATTTCTTTTATACAATAAGAGTTTAATTAGAATAACTAAATTTAATTATAATAATTAACGTGAGATAATAAGCTGCGATAATTCCATGCTTTTGTCTTCTGAAAAAAAGAGTCTTCTGAATCCCAAAGAGCCAACTCGAAACTCGAATATAACTTACAAATGCAATATTTCTTTGTGAGCGGATGAAAGGACAGAGTTGCACGGGGTAAGTTCGCAGACGTGCCGATAATCATAAACTTTATGCCGCTTCCCTCAAATCAGTAATTTGAATTCGTTCTAAAGCGCAAAATTATTTCAAGTCTTGTAGTCTTTTACTGGAGTGTATTTTGAATGTTTCATATTAAAGAGATTTTTCAAAATAATATTTTCATCGAAATAATTGTTCAAAATTTTCATCGATATATTTTTGAATTATTTATTTTCATCTTTCTGTTGCAATCGCGAGTCTTTCTAAGGTTTCATGCATTTATCGAGAAAAGCATCCAAAACTGTATGCCTTACAGACATTCTCGCGTGGGCTCGCCTACGATTTGATTTTAGCACAACGTGAACGTCCTCAGATGATTGCGACCGCGTGAAGAATGACACAGCTCGCAGTGACAGCGAATCGGATATCTGTCACTCGTCGAGATAATTGTGAAAGTAATGTTGCGAGCATTTGTGCAATGTGTACAACTGTCAGGAAAATATAACGGCAAATAATTTTCTTCAGCTACTGATATCTTTGTATGATTAGCCATAAGCCATAAAATTTAGCCATAAAATAAAAATATATTAAATAATTTCTTTAAAATAGATGCAAAAATATGAATGATATTTTTGTCGGAGTCTCTAAAACGTAATTTGATAATTTAATGTATAAATTTTTTCTAGCTATATTTACTATATAATTACCCCAAATATCATCCTATTATTTCTCAATAATTATAATTATCATTTTAAAAATATTAAAATATTTGTTTAAATTAAAGAGCAATTTATTTGAATCTATATAGATATACAAATGTAATATTGAATAAACATATTCCTTGATATATTATGTCTCGTTACTGAATAACTACCTTTCCCTGACAAGTAGAGGCTTCTATGAAATAAGCAGATCTGATTTCGCTATTCGTCTTTTATAATATAAATGGATTCTAGCAAGAAAGCACGTATTGCAAATGTTCTCTGTAAAGGTCTATTTCTGTCGCTGCCTTCGCTTTTCAGCTTAAACAGCGGGTGCTCGAAATGGAGCAATAATTACTTTAGTCTGAGGAAAGTCAAGAAACTGGCAATGTAACATCATTTACTATAACGGTATAAGAACAACGGTTACGACTCGGCGTTATGCAAGCACAATTCAGCAAACGTTTATGCGCGTTAAGATTGGTAAAAGAGACACTTATGTATGCGAATTGCGTCCTTTCGCTGCATTCGTAGCACATTCGGAATCTAGCGCGTTCTTAATGTCTTCCGCGATAACTGTAACGCAATGATATAGCAATCGTGGTTTACCTGTGTTTCCTTAACCCGTGATCGTACAATAAGAGATACATCATTATTGAAAATCGTTCGCATAAGTAGCGAAAAAAAAAATATATTAGCAGAAAACGAGACGTTAAGACGTTCTTCCGCTCGAATTTATGCTGCTATTAGACGGAATTAGAAGATACGATAAAAGTCGCGATCGACGATAAATCGTCCTTTCCTTCCTGCACCGCCCACAGTGATTTGGTTTAATCTACCGACCGGGAAAACCGATCGCGGGCACGAGTTTGGTCGATCGGTTCAGTAGTAGCGATCGTATTTGGATCGGACGAGCTAGTTGTAGTCGGCGCAACAGCCATTATCGACACGCAGTAGTTACGGTCGATGCATAATCCGCCGCGAGAAATTGACTCAACAGCCGGAGTGACCTTCTTCACCGTTTCATTCACGTGCTATTTTTCCCTGATGGTCATTTTCCTCTCTCGATTAATCATTTCGTATACTTTTTTCTTATTTCATCCTATGTCGTCGCGAAAGATTCTGATTCTAAGAATTTTATTTAAGATTAAGTAAAGATTTTGTTTTAAAAGTGGATCAAAGTATAAAATACTATATTCGACAATATCATTGATCCAAAAAATAATTTAATATTTTTCTCTCGATTTTTTCAAATATATTAGATTTAGATAAAAAATATTTACGGGAAACTCTCATTGTAAATATCTGTCGTTTCTTACCGTATCTTTTTAAAATTTTATTTTAAGAGCTAAAACAGCAAATTCTATCAAAGTATAATAATCTGAGCAAGGCGTATGCGCAGCGGCAGTGTGTTAACACAAGAAAAGATGGAAGCTATATAATGATGAATAACGAAGTTAGTGGGTCAATAAAAATCATAGAAAGAGAAGCCCGATTGCAGTGCTCTGGAAGCAGATAGAAAACATTTTCGGATGACACTTCTCTATTATGGGAACGCAAAGAATCCATCCCCACAGACAGTCTGAGAGCAGTGCGAAGAGAAGAGAAAAAACGAACCGGCATGAAGAAACGAAAGGTGGCTTCGGGGGAGATGCAGTGGCGGATTTAGGGCATCAGGAGCCCTAAGCGGAACTACAGTTAGAATCTTTAAATCTACATATGATTCGAAATTTATGAAATACGCTCCAAAGTAACCGTTTAGATCACATATAAATCCGCCACTGTAGAATTGCGCGACTTTTATTCTTATTTCGCCGCAGCCCATTCCATCTCTTTCTCACCCTTCTTTTCACCAGCTGGTAGTAAATCTCCCGGCACTCGTCTATCGCTCTGAGTCTAGAGCACTGAAATCTTCGCTTTATCTCTCGGATACCAACTTGACCATGTGTTTCTAGATATCTTGTCCGATTCGCGAACGAGATCGGATTTCGTATAAATACGAGGGAGACGAAATTACGAATTGGTTGACCTTTAGTTATCGGTTTGCAGATTGACTTTTGTAATTATTTTAGTAGATCGTTTATTCCAATATTCGTACTGCGAACGTGATGATGATTTAATTAAGATTAATATTATTTTCAATTAAAACCGTGTACAGTATTCTTATGTTAAATAGTAATGAGTCTTGATAATTAAATATAAAAGTTTACACAACCTTCGCATGGAATGTTTTTAAATAATAATCAACTTTATTTATCGTTTCCAAAGCAAATTTTTCTTAATAAAAATATATAAAAAAACCAATAAATAAGTTTTTTGATATTATTTAAAAACAATATACTCATGTGCGTATGCAAGTTCGCTAAATATAAATACCATATGTGTAGGTAAATTTAATTTACATTTCACAAAAAAAAAAAACGATCGTTTATATTACTCGGTATTTGCATATTGTATAGCGTATGCATATTAATTCGATATTTACATCTTGGAAATTATATCTGTTCGGGTTTGTTTCTCTTTCGGTGAATTTAATGATGACCGTTTAATAAATATATGCAAGTTGATCTTTCTATAAGCACAGCTGACGAATTTTTTTTTATTAAGATTCTTCCGGCACCCGGTAGTACAAGCGGGAATATTGATTCAATTATATTACGCCTGGGATTATTATACGGATCATCTTCTCAGAATAAAAAAGATAGCATATCCGTACGAAGAATAATTAATTTAACGAAGAAAATAAAAAAACGTACTCACCAAATGTTGCTTGATGAAATTTCCCAGAGGAGATAACTTTCGAACGCTGGATCTCAAGTTTTCCCGTTCGTTCCTGACCTGTTGCTCTCTTTCATGAAACCAAAAATATGATAAAATAATTTTAAAAAACTTTCCTAAAAATCTAGTGACAAATTAAAAAAAATAACAACGCGATAAATTGCATCGATATATTTTCGATGTCTCTCTCTTTCTAAATGAAACAAAGTTACATTTAATTTTCATGTTTTAGTTTATTTTTAAGAATCTATTCAAAGTTTATTAATACTTTTCACGACGCAAACAATGTCATTTTTACGCCTGAATTTTCAACGAAATCAAGGAAACGTAAAAGTTTTCACAAAATATATCATTTCAGTTATATTTAAATAGATGAAAATGTGTGACTTGAAATGGTCGCTGTCGAAAAGTAAGTTGTGTGATCTTTGTTGAATTCTATCATTTCATTTTATTCCTTTGTCGCAGAATTACTGTCCTTCACAGATATTTTTCAATGCTGTAATATTACATGGAAGCATGCAATATCTAGATACTTTTCAGATTTTGATATTTGCCAGAAAAACCGAGTAGTTTTGTCACAACGCAATATTCTCGTCGACAATATCCGAGAATATCGCGACTTAATTCGATCCTTGTACACATTCTTTAGTTGGTAGTAACTGATGCGACCGAATTTTTTTCACAAAAGAAGGCATTACGTCTAGGAATCATAATAACAACGAGCTCGAGTTAAAACGATGAGCGAGCGAGGAAATGTTTCATTTGCGAAAAAAACTTTGCGACGGAATCTGTCACTTCCACATTTACTCTTCCTACCACGGTTGCTTTCATTTCTTTGCGGAAAGGCGTTAAGCCCTGGGTCCGGGAAGATCTAAAAGGAAAGAGGAGGTTTGCGAAGAATGGAATAGAAATGTCAGCCATGATGTTTCACGTTTTCAGTATGCTCGCCAATGCGTAAGACACTGGTAAGAAAAAGTAAATCATACTGACAGCTATTCAGCACGTTTCTTCACACTCAATGTTTAAAAAAGTGCACTGTTCATTATACAATAATTTTTTCTTTTCTATTCTTTGCGGTTAAGTAAAAAATCGTCACGCAGCTAATGAGATAATTTCATAATAAAAAAAAAATTTGTATAAAAATATTGAATAACTAATATAATTTTTAGAAAATCAACGATATAATTTCTAAGAGAAAATGGTTTTATTTAATATGAGTTTTTTCAATTTTTTCAAGTCATAATACAATTCAATTATCGCGATATTTATGGAATTAATTTCGTGATAACAAGAAATTAAAGTTTGTCTGCTATGATTAATCAAGTTGATCGATGAGTATTGATTTTCTACATCGCTATTGTCATAGGATGTATTTTTCCAAATTTTATTGGCAATAAATGTCAGAAAAAGGTAACAAAATACGAGTATACCGGTGGAGCACTGATGTGGAATATCAAAGAATAATGACTGAGAATCGAAGTGATGCATTGACTGGAAAATTGGGGAGGAATACCGATGAGCTTCGACTCCGACCGGTGGAGCACTGATGTGGAATATCAAAGAATAATGACTGAGAATCGAAGTGATGCATTGACTGGAAAAAATTGGGGAGGAATACCGATGAGCTTCGACTCCACCCCTCAAAATTGTTCCGTCTTCCCTTGCTTGTTCCCAAAATCGGGAAACCAAATTGTAGCAAAAATCCAATAATTACGACAAAAAGATTTACATTGACGCGATCTCATGAATCTTCATGACTTTAATATTAGAAGATGTTTATTTTACTATGGTGACATTTATTTTACAATCACAGATATATATTGAATAAATTTGCCAATATTTTCAAAAGTTAAATGTAAAAAATAAAGTGCAACTAGTTACTACCAGTAGAAATTTGAATAAATTTATAATTTATTGTAAGATAAACGTATCATATAAAATTTATGATATTTTTTATTTTCTATTCTTGAGTTACACTCTGTCCCACTTTCAGGCACAAGATTTAAAACGATAGAATCTTGAAGAGTAGCACGTTCTCATGGCAAGCATATACAACAATGCTTCGCCCAATTTAGGCTTTTATTTTACGAAAACAAAATACATAAATATTGCTGTAGCGAGAGAACTTGATTTATTGTGACAATCTCGTAACTTTCGGTACCATTACACGTGCAGTTGCTTCTCCAGAAAACCTATTCATTTTGCTCGGACAACGCGTTTCTTAAAAAAAAAAAAAAAAGAAAGAAAAAAACAAAATACGAGTATACCGGTGGAGCACTGATGTGGAATATCAAAGAATAATGACTGAGAATCGAAGTGATGCATTGACTGGAAAAAATTGGGGAGGAATACCGATGAGCTTCGACTCCACCCCTCAAAATTGTTCCGTCTTCCCTTGCTTGTTCCCAAAATCGGGAAACCAAATTGTAGCAAAAATCCAATAATTACGACAAAAAGATTTACATTGACGCGATCTCATGAATCTTCATGACTTTAATATTAGAAGATGTTTATTTTACTATGGTGACATTTATTTTACAATCACAGATATATATTGAATAAATTTGCCAATATTTTCAAAAGTTAAATGTAAAAAATAAAGTGCAACTAGTTACTACCAGTAGAAATTTGAATAAATTTATAATTTATTGTAAGATAAACGTATCATATAAAATTTATGATATTTTTTATTTTCTATTCTTGAGTTACACTCTGTCCCACTTTCAGGCACAAGATTTAAAACGATAGAATCTTGAAGAGTAGCACGTTCTCATGGCAAGCATATACAACAATGCTTCGCCCAATTTAGGCTTTTATTTTACGAAAACAAAATACATAAATATTGCTGTAGCGAGAGAACTTGATTTATTGTGACAATCTCGTAACTTTCGGTACCATTACACGTGCAGTTGCTTCTCCAGAAAACCTATTCATTTTGCTCGGACAACGCGTTTCTTAAAAAAAAAAAAAAAAAGAAAGAAAAAAAGAAAAAACCGACAGCTTAAAGAGGAAGTATGAAAATTTGAGAAACAATCTAAAAATATAAATTGTAAAATATGCGATACGATTCGAATATTTCGAGCATTACGACGAGAATAAAGCAAAGAGAATTTTTTAACCTTTTTTTCGTTCTCGCTATTACTTCCGAGTCCATCGCAATTCTTTGACCAATGTAGTGATTTATCGCAGGTGGCGGTTTATTGACCTCTTTCCGTCTTCTTGTCTCTCACTCTTTTCAACTGTAATTTATTATCCTGCCAATGAACCCAGTATCGCCCCACGAATATCCGTACGGAAGCGAATGGACGACATTTTACGATCGTTTTCCGTTTACAAAAGGATCCGCCACGAATCTTTAAAAACGAATACACGAGCAACCATTTCTTTGTTTTTATCTTTTTCTCACTTTCCTAATTACCTAAATTCGTATTACAAGCAATTACAAAGCAATTATAGAGAATAGGAGAAAAACAAACAATGATTGATATTCTGACAGTTGACCTTCAAGATTTTCAACGGAGATGAGATAATTTTATAATGTATTTTAGACAGTCAAACGAGGAGTATTAAATTCGAGAATTATGGGACAAAATGCGAAATCTCTCATTAATAATTTATGGTCTTTATAAATTGTGTAGCTTTCAAATTTTCAATTAAAAGATTATTCAAATATAGGAAGGTATTTAATATAATAATTAAATTATTATAAACGTCACAAGTACAAGATTTAAGTATAAAAATAATTGATGATACGAATAAGTAAATGAAATAAATCACTTAAACTTACAGCGACAGTCTCGTTTCGATGTCATCTACGTCAATGACAGCGCGACTCAGAGCCGGAAGACTACTCGCTTCGTATGGTGGATTAGTTAGATCTGAAACACGATAAAAAAGCTTCCTCAAAAGGGCATGTTGACGAGCAGTGCGTCTCGCTTATATGAGTTTCGCATAGAATAAAGCTTAATCTTGTCCGAGAGAAGAGGATATAATCCAGGGATACAGAAAAATTAAGTTAGCCAAGCCGACTTGACTCTTATATCCTCATAAAAAAAAAAGCTAGGTAAAATTTCGTCGCGCGTTCTTTGTCGCATGACAAACTTTGTGACAATAAATTACTTTATGAGAATTAAACGGATAATTAATTCTAAACTCAGAGAAATGATAGGAGTGGAGGGTTAAAACTATGTCATAACAGAAAATTAAAAAAAAAAAGCATAATTTATACATAATGTTGAAAGACATAAAAAAGTTATATGAAGAGAAACGAAAATATCGAGTTATAATATTTTGTCCACTTAATCTTGTTTAAACTAATCGTTTCGTATTTTATGTAAGTAATTGTGTAACCGTCATGTAACTAATAATAAACGGTTGTATATTCACCTATACTGGAGTGGTAATAATCGCTGTATCGTCCATAAGGAGGTGCCGCCGGATGCGAGAGAGTATTCACTCTTCGTCTAAGATTCGTTGCCTGCAAAATGAAAATAAAAACATTTTATAAATCCCGTTTAAAAATTCGTGTCGTATACATTCGGAGAAAGTCGTGTAAACTCGCATCTCTGACACTATTGATAAACGATTTCCCACCAGCAACGAAAGGAGAAAAAACAATCGTAGAAAAAGAGCAAGTTATGAGGAGTCATCGCGTGCGAGCTCTTTCTGATTTCGATAAAGGATTTACACGATACTCGGAGCTTTTCCTTTTTGTCCTTTTCCGTGCCAGAATTGAGATTTGCGTCCTGTTAGAAAGAAGGGGATCTAGTACGGTCGGGTCGAAAGCTTTTTGCTTTTTATTCAGAGTCTGTCTCTACCGAGAGATCGATCAGGTTTTTGTATATTAAACTTTTAGTACAGATACAAATCGTCTTCTTTAGCATTTCTAGTGCAAATGTAAAAAATAAATAGCCAAAGATAAACGAAAAAAGATAAATATATTATGCTCCTTGTATTTTTGCACGATATATGTATATTTATTTGTTTATGATCACTTTTCTTCTGTAAGAATTTTGATGACATCAAAGTATTGTAACTGCAAAATCTGTAACCTTCTTTTTCTAAAGAATTATTTGTACAATAATGTTTTTTCTTTTTCTAAAAGTTTTTTATTTTGCAGTTATAATAGAAAGAAAGAGATAATAGAAAAATAGAGTAATTATGAATGTAGGTATTTCCGTATATTTTTTTTTGTATGTAGCAAGTATAAATTAAAAAAATTTGTTTCAAGAACTATTACAAGAGAGAGAGAGAGAGAGAGAGAGAGAGAGAGAGAGATTAAATCCTGTTTATCACAAATAAAAAATTTTATGCAAAACGTTTGGCATTACTATATATATAACAATTTTCATATATTTTATTGTATTTTAATTGTTTAATAAAATACCAGGATATTAATAATGATTTGTCTTTATTACAGCGATTAAAACATTAATTTCCATAGCAGCACCAAGATTTATTGCATTAAATTTTCTTAATTCTTAATTATTTTAATTATTGCGCGTGTATTCTTCTTTCATTTTATATTTCAATTACATTACTAATGTATATAATACACATCGTGTATTAAATAGTTTGTTATTAATAATTATAATTTTTTGATTTCATGATTTTTTATGTATTCAAGTTGATAAGCAAGTAATCTATGATTTGACGTTGACCAATGATTTGTAAACAATTGCATGTAAGAATTTTCTAAGTAATTTTACAAATATCCGTGCTTCATGTCTGGGTAATATGAGCATCACCTAACGCATCTAATAAATGAATAATAACACATACTTAACATCTCTCTCTAATGAATTATTCGTTGAAGCATAAGAAAATTTGTATGCAACCGCCTATAGTATAGTATGAATACTTAATTATTCTAAAATTACTGATAATTATCCATGCATTATAATTCAATTGAAAAGTGTAGTTTTGAATTAATGCTATATACTTTTCATAATTGTGTGACGGTACTCTTAAAAAAAAGGATATATATATATAGAGTTATAATTATAATTATTATTTAATTAATTTTTCTATAACTAAAGCTATGTATTTGGATGTTATATCCATTGATCTTTTTCGCTCTCGATTACTATTTTCGCTGCATGCATCACTTTTCTTATCGATTATTTATGATAATTGTTATATCATTTCATACATCAGATGCTGTATCAATAACAATTGATCGCAGCTTCCTTATAACTGTTCTGCTGATAAAATCGTTAGAATAATGACTAGATTCCCTTGGCAATGGCATTTCTTGGATCGACAATGTCTTGGATCGGACCAAGCAACCTTGGCATTAACATTCTAGATTCTTTGGTTTCGTTTCCATGCCGTAGACAAGATTTTATGACTATCAATCACGATAACCAAGTCGCCGTAAAATAAACAGTTGTGCGGTAAAGCAAAAAAAAGAAATTCTAATTTTTACTCTTAATATTATTTCTTATAAGCATCTGCAATCGTTCAGTATCAATACTTTAAAGACTCTTGATTGCAAGAAAAATATATGTAATCTTATATGTACATATATTTTTTTGTTAATTATTATTAATTGAATATTGAAACAAGAGAAAATTTAACTTCTAATATTTTCATAAAAATTACGAAAATTATTTAAAAAATTTTATTCTTTCTGAACGAGAAAAGTACGGTTTAATGCAACAGTGGATGAAAACAAGACTTTTAACGTAAAATTGTTATAAGATCATATGAAATTTATTTATTTCTAACATAAGAGTGTCGACATTGTCAACATATTATCGTGTCGTTCCGCTTGGCATAATATGCATTAATTAGATTTAGTCAATATCTTATAATTGACCAAGCACTAGACTCAATCGTTGAAACAAAATAAATTCGTGCGTGCATATTCGATACATTCTCGCCTTTCACCTTCTCAATTTAGAGACAGTGAGAACGTAAATTTAAATCGAAAGTTAACCGTTCAAAGCTCGCACCCGCATTATAATTAATCACATCCAACATTTTCCAAGCAAATTATCGCCAAACGATTTCTCAAGTCACTTTAACAAAAACTTAGCAGAGAGAAAGAGAGACTTTCACAAACATAAAAAGTCTAATATAAGCCGGAAATAAAATTAAACACACTTTTCTTTATACTATCTAACTGTTTTGTCTAATTATCCAAATTTTTGAACCTGTAACGCCTATTTCCTTGAATTAATTTTAAAAAATTGGCTACACATAGATGTGTGACTTCCGGAAAATAATAAAAGATCAGATATTACAACCGTAGCGAAAATAAAGCATCTTTTCATTCATGTCCCGCTCTATTAACCGCATCCTGTGCCTATATTTAATTCTACCGTTTGTGCTTTGTGTATTCTGCTCGGAATTAGTCGGTCATGTATTTGTGTGAAGGAGCAATAACGGACTGTCGAGCTGTATGGATCGCAGCGGGTCGGTACATGGTCAGGTAAGATGTTTTTCAGGACCAAAATCTGAGAAAGGATACGCATCCTGTCGTAGTGCCCGCGTAGTTTCCTCGTGTTTTCGACGGGCAGCTGCTACGGTATGGACCGGATGCGAAAGAATACTCTCAAGAAAAAATCTAATTCTATTATTTCGACTTTATCTTACCGTAGTCATATGCAAAAACGTAGATGCGTAAATTCCATGTAAAAAAAAAAGATGTAACACTTCTAATATGTTATGTTAACGAATGATAACGAAACATAATAAAGATAACGACAGCAAAGATAAAAGTCGCGTGACACAATTTGAGCACATATCGCAGATGATATTAATTAGTAATCTAAATAAGAATTATGTCACGTTGACATTTAGAGTATGTTTAGAACATGTTTTATGTATTCAATTTGTATTTGGTTTTTAAGTCTACTAGCTTTTTTATTAGGATACAAAGAACCTATTATTTATATATCAATTAGGACATTTAAAAAACGATAAATGTTTGAAAAATCCGTTAGTTCCTTCAAACGCTTTGTGAAAAAAATTTAATCCCTTTAGAAACTTAATTTTTTTAAATTAATTTCTTAATTAAGCTCTTTAAAAACTTTATTTTTTCAAATTAATAATTTAATTAAGCTCTTTAAAAACTTTATTTTTTTAAATTAATTTTTTAATCGTTATATATCCATAAAAGAGCTTAACAATTCTATAAATTTAAAATTTCTTTTATACCCATGAATTATTACATTTAATAATCTGAAATTAAATTAAAGATTTCCTTGATAATAATATCGTTCGATCATTACGATCAAATTTATATCATCATACTTTTATACACTTTATCATCTCGCACATCTTTTGTAAACGTGAGACATCGTTTTCACTTTTTAGAACGTGTTTGACAACGAAGCAAGCCTGTACTCTTCTCTATAACTCATTTATCTCCCTTCTACTTCCTTCCATTATGTCGTTTCCGTGCAGTTCGCGTAGGAGGATCCATAACATCCTCTTCTCTCGCCGACGTCCTCCTCGGGATCGTCTCGATTCGCAGGACTTGAACGTTTCAGGGTCCATCTCTCTAAGCTGATTTTTCTCCCTCGTCCCTCTCCTCACGAGACATCCGAGGCGTAAAACGAAACAGCCGGCGAACCGGTTCAAGAATTTTTCGTCGGTTCCTCGTCCCGGACTTTAAACCGGTATCTCGTCGCAAGCGCACGGCGCGCAAAGCGCAACGCGTAAGCAGACAGTTCTGCAAGCCGCGTGCGCGTTTCGCAAATCGCGCGCGACATGCGTTCCACGCAAGGCTGGCTCGATACTTGTCTCATGAGAAGTCCGATTCAACCGTACTAGATGTATCATAAAATGCCAAGTCGGCACCAATTTTGTTTTTTTATATAAATTCTGAAAATAAAAAGAGAGAGAAAGAGAGAGAGAGAGAGAGAGAGAGAGGGAGAGAGAGAGAGAGAATCGTCATTATAATTTAAAGCAATGTATGCCTTACGTATTTTGCAAAGCACTTGGGGAGAGAGAGAGAGAGAGAGAGAGAGAGGGAGAGAGAGAGAGAGAATCGTCATTATAATTTAAAGCAATGTATGCCTTACGTATTTTGCATTAATAAAAAGCACTTGGTATATATGGATAATAAAAATAATAAATGCACAATAAATAATGCGCAGCAAGACGATAGACGAGAATATAAGTTGCGAAAAACTTTATAAAACTTTGGCACCATTCAACAGCTATCCTCACTATTAATTTTCAACGTGCAAACAGGATGAGTTTTCCGCCAAGTTTTCCGAGAGCAAGAAGCACTTACGCGAGAGGTGAAAGAGAGGCAGAAGTCTCATTACGTTCGCAAATTTTTTATTACCCAGCTACATAAATAGCACCAGACATTTAAAGAGACTGCAAAGGTAACTTCAACTATCTTGTCAAGTACATGAGATTATTGCCTTTTCGCAATGAGTCGCGAGAAATTAAAATTTATCTTGTCGTCGGAGACATTCGAGTCTCATCTCGCTTATAAATGTCTATTCTTGTACCGCTAATATCCAATTACATCATCGTTTACTAATGTACTACTTATGGTTCATTCATTTGCTGTAATTGCATGAATATGAATAAATGTACCAAATATTTATCAAAACGAAAAATCGTTTGCGAAATGATCACGTAAAAAAAAAAAAAAAAAAAAATGATTAAGGCAATTATAAAACTGCTTTTTAATAAGGGGGGTTTTTGAAATAAAATAAATTGCAGATTTACGAATGGCACTGTTACATCAGCGTGTTAATGGAATTTTTGAGATACGTTCTCGTCGATTGCAAATTCAGTGAGTTTATCTCGTCAACGAATAATTGCTAGATTTTCGCAAATCATCCAGCATTTAGATAATTCGCAAGTCAAATTGTCAATAAGAGAGCAGAAGTGAATTGATGAACCATATGCACAGATTGCGATTGTATCGTGCTGAATGTAGATGCTGATACATACGTATGCAAATGGGTTAAATGGTTAATTTAACCAGTTTCGCGTGCAAGATTCAGATCTGATACATAAAGCCGCGATTCAGATGTTTGGATTCCTATAGAATGTATAGAACAATAGCTTCGGTTAGAATTCAGAAATCTCGGATGCGCTTTCTCGCGAAATCCTCGTTTATGTTATGATTCTCAGTCTCGAATAACTAAATTTAGAATTCAGAAAGCATCAAAAGCAGTTTATCTCTACTGCAGATGTTTCACAGTATCATGCATCAATCTCTAATCCTTTAAATCTCTAATGTAAATCCGAAATTTTCAATATTATCATTATCATCTCGATTAATTAAATTATTACAAATATTACGATGCGAACAAAATCAGAAATTATTGAAATCATTAATAAACATTTATTTAAATTTTAATTTTTGGAATATGTACACTCATTTTATTATATAATTACATTTTGATTGATATTAATTTAATCGATAATTTTCGCACGTGAATATCGAAAATCCTTCATCGGATAAATTGACATTTTAACTATGGTGTAAACTGATAATTTCGATTCGCTCATGTACAGCATAGAATCTCGCTGAAAGTTTCTGGTAGAAGTTTTCTCTTTTTTTTTTTCTACGAGATGGAAGCTCGTGAATAAAAAATTGAGGGTGACAGCGGCAAAATGCTTCCTCTGAGATTCGCTAAGAGTGGAAAATCTGATTCAATGATTAAGCGAAAAATTCGCCAAGTTACCCCATGCCACACAATTCTCAAAAATACGAGAACCTGTGGTCCAATAAAAAATTGTAAATTGTGTAAAGCTTCTGGCGGGCACGGAAAGGAAAAAATTCGCAGCGCGAGTAATGGGATACTGATAAAGGCGCGAATAGAATCTCATTAATCTTTCTGAATCAGTTTAATGATATCCAAGTCCAGATAGCATATCTTTCGCAAGTTCCTAGAAGACGATAAGAATCGCATTTAACTATTAATTATGCACTGATTCGGCATGATGTGCAAAGTATATATTAAACGATGTCAAAATTGTCACCTACTATGTTTTAATATCGTGTCTTAAATTAGATTGAATCAATCATTATTAATCGACAGAAAAGGAAAAGGAAATAGATAAATATTGAAGAGAAAAATTATGCGATAAGGCTTTTGCTTAATATTTGGAAACTATATGATATTCGTAAATTACTTGATTAATAACCTATGTTAATTAAAAAAGAAATTTTTCGAATTTTCAAATGAAAAACATTCTCGAAATTTGTTCGTATATAACGAATAATTTCCAATTTTAATTTTACGATTTTGATTCGAATTTTCAAATTTTAATTTGTTATTTTATATCCTATCTATCTATCATTTTTGACGATCCCTCCTCCCTCCCCCCTTCTCCTCAGTTGCTAGTCATTTCATATTCCCTAAAATATCACTTCTAAAATAAGAAAAAATTACGGACATATCTTTTTAGAGAGCAACTTCGAATTGTCAATTCCAGCACCTTTGCTATTTTTTCACAAAGCTTATCAGATATTCTTTACGACTTTATTTTCTAAAATAACGGGATATCCTTACAGGATTCTTTTCCATCAAACTGCGCGTCCTAGTAACTTGCATCCTGCCGTCGAAGACATCATGTTCAGAGACGCCCGCGTTCTTATAATCAGCGTCGACCACATCGACGCGCTCGTCCTCCGCCAGCGAGCTGAGACTGTTATACCACTGCATACTGTTGGTCCTGTAGGGCTGCTTCGAGGACTCGTGGCTGCGATGAAGATCTTTGCTGAAGCTCAAGCTGCGTCTAATCGGCTGCAGACCGCGATTTATCACCGCCGGTAAATCGGCGCTCCCTTTTAACAGCGCGCCGAATTTCCGACGGAACGATGCGCGCCGTTCGAGCTTCCCGCTCGAGCTGTCAACATCCTTCGACGAGCTTTCCTTCAATGCCGGTCTCTTAACGCCAGAGGATTTTTGACACTCTGTTTCGACGGGTGATGAGATGATATTAATAAAAGAGCCTCATTCTCTCTCTTATATACATATACCCGCGATGGTTTCTTCGAAACGATCGAAACTATGTATTTCTCTTCAATTGCATTATATGTTGAGAATATATGTTGCAATATAGCTCATAATATATACACATGTGCCTTTTATACAAGACTTGATATATCTTTAAGAATTGAAAAAAAATTGATACGTTTTATTCTACATGTCAAATATCATTATAATTATTTTAAGCCGCTATATAAACATATTCGTAGCTCATCGGCATTTACCATAACAGAATTTTAATTGTTTTCTTATCAGAATAAAATAATTCATTAACTTTGCTCTCTATGTCTGTTTCAATATTAATTACAATTAAGGAAGTTATAAGAATTTATTATTATTGTTGATTTCAAAATTTATGATTACTTCCTTAAAAAACAATATTTAAATTTATTATTCAGATAAGTTATTTTGAATATTTTTTATAAAAAATGACATGTTAGTGATGTTACATCGATTTGATTCAGATATTAATAACGCAAGTTATAACTTTCTTGACAGTTTCGACGTTTGATAGAAATCAGCAATATCTCTAGAGACTTTGCTGACACTTCTCATGTATCAAGAATTTTGCAAAGAGCGATTAATAATTTAGTACTCTGCGCACCTGCTTCCTGTTTGCATTCCTTCGCGAGATTTTCCTGCTGCAGCACATTTGCACTCTCGTCAATGCAATTCGTCGTTTTGTGGTTCAATTTGGCCACTTTTTTCGAGGATCTCTTCGTTTCCTTCTTCAACGTCATTTTTTTCGAACGTATCTCGCACTACAATCAATTGCACTTAAATAATCACATTGAACAACGCAAATTATGGCACGTTTAATTTTAATCAATGATCGAATCGCATTGACTTTCCATTTCGTTTTTCACAATCGTGTACGGTACGTCTTTAGCCGCAATTTACGCACACCGAGTAAATTTTGTTATAAATGGTATCACTTCGATAACGACGCGTTATCGTTGCAACATGTATCAACTATATCGGTAATATCGCGTCCACTCATGCCTTTTTGCTTTCCGTGTATTTAACGAAGCCTGGAAGTTGAGATAAAATCGATCGCGCCATCAAAAGTTAAAAACTTTCTTAACCGCTTTTAAGCCTGTTGATCCGATTTACAACCTCATATCTGCCACTGTTTTTTAAATATTTTCCTACCGTATTTTTAGCCGATACGAATCGAGAGACATTACGGAACGCGCGTTTTTTTAAAGAAATGGAAAGTGCTTCCATTTGGAGTGTCGCAATTTTGCGAAAGCTTTTCGAAATCTCTCAATGTTTATTTTTCAAAAATGTTCTAAATGTCTTAACATTGCGTGAAAAAAATGATTTGAAAATTACAATTATTATATATAGAAATCAAGCCAGCAAATTTTCCGTTTACCAAGAGAAGACCGTGTCTTTTACTATGTTGCCCATGTTATCTCACCATTATGTTCATAATTTATCGCTTGGTTCCAATCGAACGACCAATTACCAAAACAAGACTTACTACTCAAATAGAAGACGTTGCTTATCATACTGAAGAAAAATTAACGTCTGTTCCATTATCAAATCGAAAACAATTCAAACATTATCAAGAATATTGAACGTGCAATTTTTACATAAAGAAAAATTAAGTTAATTTTAATTCTCTTATAATACTTATACCAGAACATAATGTAGAAAGAAATACCCATTTAATTGTAACATAAAAAAATATTTATCAATAATATTAAAATTCAAAATTTACGTCATATTCTAATTGTCAAAGCAACTGACATTTATTTGTTTTAAGAAGTGATATAATTATCTACATAACTTTTTACTCAAGCTGAAGAGTACAAATTCGCACATCTTCTATTTTATTAATCATTCAATCAATTGCATCGAAGATAGAGTATGTGCAAAGTTTGAATTTTGATTGCATTGCATTTGATTGATGTACTATTACATTTTTTATGCGGCTCTTATCTGTTAGCTTATTAATGGAATATTCCTGGCTCGGAAATTATGCAAAATAACATGTGCATCGTTTCGTTTCGTCGCATTAGAGAAGTTGTTTGAAACAATCCACACGTTCCGTAATTATAAATTATATGCTTTGTTCCAAAGTCCAATATATACGTTAGCGATCTGAGAGTCCACAGATGCATTACTATTTTCACTCGCAACACTATTTAAAGTGAATGAATAGAACAAATTATATTATAGAAATATAATAATATAAAACAGACTGAGCGTAAACAGAAAAATTATTTATAACAATGGATCTTTAAAATAGTAAATAAAATATTTTTTTAAATCTACTTTTATTAATTTTTTCTTTATCAGCCAATCTGACTAAAATATGATTTTGATAAGTTTGTTCCTTATTAAATCGATGCAGTAAATACGAAGATCCTTACGTGTTGATAAAAGTAATATTTTTAATAGTCGGTCTCGTCGAATGATTCGCAATAAATCGCGAATCTTTTGTGCAGAATTCTCTATAACAAGAATTATGATAAAACGGTACTCAACTATGCCCCGTGAAATTAACGCACTGTTCATTATAATTCTTATCATTCGTTTTGTTGCCTTGGACATTAGAATGCGTATTCGCATGAAATTATAAACTATTTCATACATTTCAATATATTGCATAGGTCACTTAATATGTCATTTATTTTCTTGCACAATCAATTAAACAAAATTTAGTGATATGTTCGAAAATAAAAAAAATTTTTAAAGTAAAGTTTGCTTGTTTGCTACATTTTACAGCTACATTTTAATGATATATTTCGCAAGGTATTTATTACTTTCGATTTCGTGCTCATCTTTTCTTAATTTGACGTTAATAAATTCTTGTCAAGTTTCTCAGACACTTTAGTTCGCCCTAGACTCCCTGTTTAAAATGGTTACGAATAAGACTGTTAATCTATGCTGGTTATCAAGCGTTTAATTATACCACACACTGTATCTTTACGTTCTTTCCAACTCTGCAAAAATAATAGCGTTGAGTCTAACAGAATTAGCATGATTACGGCAAAATTGCTTAGTCGAATCCCATATCTGGAGCGCGTAATTTGCGCGCCTTGCGCGCCTGCAATATGTAATATCGCAAAATTATCGGCGAGAAAACGGATTATAAGACTGGTTAATCCTGGCCACGATAAGCTTGCAACGGACTGCGTTTTGTTATCAGGCGGTCGCACGGCGAGTTCACGGGTTGTACACGATAATAACGTGACGACGTAACGGCAATTATTGTCGTCGGAATAAAGTGCGTTCTCAGACGTCACTGTTTAATGCATTCGAGAATCAGCCAACCATGTCTTCGACAAATATTTGCCGACATTGCCTCGCGCTTAATCGCGACAATCAGTCGCAATGGGTTTACTGGAATAAATTTCGCGCAATCGATATATTAAATTTCCTCAAAATTCATGACTCGACATTCGCCCGCGGGCAAAACACGGATTTTCACGATAATTCACTACGTACATTTAATTTGATATTAAGCATCAAAGATAAATACTGCTCCATGTATGTTATATTTTTCTCTTTTTTATAATTTTTGTTAAAGATATGACTCTCTCTTAGCTTTTATTTTCGGATTAAAAAGTTAAAAAAAAGATTAGCTATTTTAATTAAAATTTCTCATTAATAATTAAATATATAAATTGATAAATAATAATAGATAATAAAATAATAAAATATTTTCATTCATCTGTTGCACGTGTTTGTTTACACACTTACAAATTGCATTTTAAGAAAAGATAATCGTAGGAATGTACATTTTCCAAGAAGTGAAGAAGATAATGCGTTATCATGCGATTGTAGCATGTATAGAGAAATTATATGTTACGTGTTACATAATGATTTGTCGTGCTATGCATCAGATCTATGAAATTGAAGGATACGGCGAAATAATTAAAACGCAATTTCGATATTGAATAATGAGTATTACGAGCAGCTTGACTTGCGAGTTAAAATAAATGTGCAAAATGTGATTTTAATTGATACGGAAATCAAATGTGATTCAATCTTTTTTTTTGTGGATAAATAAAAATCTTATAAAATTAAAAAATGCAAATGTAACAAAAATTTGCCGAGTATTATTCCGAGAAATGAATTAGAGATGAGTCGCTGTAACGGATGCAATTTGATACATATACCGACGTAAAAAAAAATAATGTGAAATTGAATTTACTAATTCAATAGTTATCTGTGAATCTATGCAAGTTATAATATGCGATAAAAAGATTCAATTTAAAAATTCGTTACTTCCAAAAAACCATTTCGCGAACGTAATGTGCAATGTATTTTGTCTCTTATTATATACATTACTTTTTATCTAGATTATGAATTTTATTTTGTATTAAAATCTTTTGAAATGAATTTATTTATACCTGTCGCATACACCATTCATATATAAATCGCTTGAGATAGAAAATACTTTACTGCGATATACGCAGATTATTATCTAGAGAATTAAATCTATCAATCATGGAAAAAATGCAATCTCTGGAGGAAAACTAAAATGATTTAAAAAAAAAAATTGTCTTAATATAATTTTTTAAATTAAATAATCACATTTTTAAAACACTTTCATATTATTAACAATTTTAATATTATTTTTGCGATTCTCCAATATTAAACGTCTGCTTGATCATTCGTTAATTACCGACATTAGCCGTGTACAACAGAACGTTTTATACAAATAGTCACAGCAAGTTTGATTCGCCAATTTCACTCCGTATAATTCCGTTAAATTAAGTTTCTTTTTCGTCGCGCTAATAACGTACAGAGTCGATTGTAAAGTCGGTTAAGGTTACGACTTATCAACAATTGTACGACACCCATACAGGAAAAAAATTTCGATCGATCAGTTGATTCGTAATAGTGATGCGAGTCTTTTTTCTCTCGTTGCATTGAACGTACATTAATTCAGCCGACATTATTTGCCTCCGCAAAAATAGAAAAAGTATAGATATTATGCGATTTTATTGGCTCCGTTTTCACACTTTTGCCGCGAAATGAAATACCAGAGAACCTTTAGGAAAGAAGTCCGTGTCAAAGGAAGCCGCGCAAACTCGCAAAAGTTTCCCTTTTACCGCGTTAATCGTTTGCATTATCGGTAAACTACTGGAAATGTAAGTGCAAATCAGTTCGAATGCTACTTTTACCTCGTCATGCAGCTCGCTCAAACATTTAAAATATTTTAGATAATTTACACATACGATTACACGATATTTCGTTATGTTGTTTGAGTTTTCACTGATTTCGATCCTTTCCGGATCGTAGAATTCCCATCGATTTTAATCGCTTCATAACGCATATCATTTTGTATATTTTGTTATCAGGACACACGTATAATTGCACCGAAATATTCCACTGACACTAATTCAGTTTACGTTACGTGCATATTACGCTTGATAGCGAAAAAGAGTCATTCGCGACAGTCTTCGATTTTCTCTTTTCTTATCGGTGTTTTCTTCTTGACTTTATTTTTCTCGGGTAACCAGTGGAGCAGAATAAATGTGACACGCGACGGTAAAACCGCGCTTTGGCGACTGACGAAGGTGCTGCTTCATTATTAGCTCGGCATTAGTATGGCTGATAATAAGCCACGTAGCTGATAAACGAGACGATCCGAAGAAACAGAGAAGAAGCTAGTCACACATGATATTTAAGATAAAATACAATTTTTCAAAAGATGAAAGAAATCCGCGAAGATCTGCCGCGGATTTTATATATATATATATGTATTTGCATATTACTTTCATTATTTCATTCATTTTTAATTACAATATTTAAGGAGAAATTAGTTTAAATACCTCGGAAACTCTGAGTAAAAAAGTACACAGGAAATTTTTCATACATTTTATATAATATATATTCGTCCTATATTAATTACGAGACGTATGAAATACGATAAAAATGATAGTATCAATGTGTAATAAAATTTTTTTCTGTGAGTTTTGTGCATGTGAAGCTAATCATATTTTTAATCTATTCAGATAAGATCTGGTCGCAAAAATGCACAATAAAAAAATCTTTTTTATGCGATCATCATCACAAAAATAAATTAAACGAAATGGAACGCTCTTCTATTTTTTTCCTGAATCGCACTTCACTCATTTCTTTCACGCACCGTGCGATGATTCTTATCGATATTATCTCACTTTTCGCCGACTCTGATCTAATCAGAGCATTTCGATCTATTATCTTTTTACTACTTCCAAGATAGATTAATTAATATAAATTCTTTACTTAAAGAACAACATTAAAATTAATTAAATCAAAGAAATCGAAACTTTAATATCAGTTTCGCGAGGCTCGATTAGACCACTGGATTTCACTTTTGCACTAACTTCACTTATTTTCTATTCTTTTCCACGTTATTTCAATTTTCCGCATGGATTCGTCTGATTTTCCTGAACCCAAGTTAGACTTTTCATGACAGTCGATATTTTCAGTTATTAATCGCGCGAAAAATAAACGAGTGAACAGAACGCATCTCGCAGATTTATCAGCTAGCCTTTGCGGTTACACACTTTGTCGTTATACACGGCAGCAGATTTTTCTTCGATCATATCTTTTACTTGCACTTCCGGTCGCGCGCGAGCGATCGCTTCGCCGTGTGAGCGCAAAAATTGCGGCAACGGACTAAGCAAGAAATTAAGGAGACAGGTGAGGCGAGGTTCGATAAGCAGTTTGCTGGCTGCGGGAAGAGAGAGCAAGAGAGAGAGAGAGAAAGAGAGAGAGAGAGAGAGAGAGAAGGAAGAGAAATACACGTGGGAGAGAAAAACGCGAATGCGAGTCACTGACAAGGAGAGATACATTTGTACGTAGAGAGGGGGATAACCGCAGTGGCGCTCAATTATAGCCGCAATATGGTTACATGGAATTGGCCAAATGATTACGACTATGACTCAGTACTATCTGAGTCGGCATATCGGTAACACAAATATCGACCGACTGAACTCTACAGAAATATTTTTCAGAAATAAGAAAGAGATGCAAAAAATTTATAAAAAAAATATATATATATATATATAATATTAAAAATATATATATATATAATATTAAAAAAAACACATATTATATATATTGTAATCTTTCTCTATACGTGAATAAAAGATATTAATCATATTTAAATATATCATATAAAGCTCATATGACTTTAGATAATCCTTTTTTGCAATTACATTTGCTACTTGTGTGTTTAATTTATTTTTTCTATAAAACACAAAATAACTCCATAAAATCAGATTATAACACCGAGTTAAACTCCAAAGTTTAACTCCCAACTATAATTTGTGATTTTACGTCAACTGTTGATCCAGCCGTGCTACGTTAATTGCTCGGAAAACTGTCCTGTTTGTGTTGTGAGATATCAAGATCCTTATCCTTACATACAGTCCAAATTGAAACCCAATTTACGTTAACTTACGACTAACGCGATCAAAGTGTATCGCAAATTGCATTTATATTTACATATGCGTCGCATTTCTTGATTTTTGCTAAGACGAAAGTTTGAATTTTGCATTCAATTAGAAGTATTTGATTTTACGAGCTACGGAATTAGGAGGCAAATAGGGGCAAAGCTCAAATCCCACGGAAACCATAAATTTTCCAAACGCTTGTAAAGTCTACTTAAAACCCACTGCATCTCCCGGTGAAGCAAAATTCGTGAAAAACTTTTTCGTCGTCTTTCTCGCGACTTTTCAAAGGACTCTCGCTCAAAGTTTTTAGTACAAAAGCACTTTGTCACGTTAAATCTCAATGAAGTCTATCGTTCTCATTTGTGGTATTAATAAAATCAATAAAATGTTTTTTCGATGAGCGTTTTCCAATGATTAATGCACGTAAAATAATGCACTTAAACTAATAATGGCATATTTAATTTAAAAGAAAAAATTCTTCCGCATCAATATTATGCGGCTTCTATCGTAACAAAAATATCCATATATTAAACTAATATAAAACAAAATATCGGGGAATCTATATAGTAAAATATGATTTTGAGTTAGATATAAATTAAGATAATAAATTAATCGATAAATGATAATATGTACAACATAATTCTCCCAAGTATATGTGTATATATATATATATATATATATGTATATATATATGTGGTCACGAGAGAGAGAGAGGCCGCCTCGTTCGACCGTGTCCGCCGCTGGGGAAAATCGTTAGTGCCCCGGCCGACCGCTAATGGGGCCCAAATTAATTTCACGTAATTGTGGGTACACGGTAGTGTGCGTTCCGTCTCCTCGTCCCCGGCTACCAGTTTTACCCTAATAGGAATAAAATAAGCCCTTATGCGCGAGCGCGCGCGCGCTGCCACATAATTGCACCGGTGGAAATAAGCAAACCCGATTAAGCCCCGTGCACACTGTCACGCTCGCCGGGTTTTGCCTTCGACGACTTTCATAAGGGCTTCGTCATATATATATATATATATTTGAATACTTTAAATTATATACGCATAATTCAGTTAAGGGAAAACTGAGGAGCAGAAATAAATTTGCTAGCGCGACATTGTGTCCCAGCGATATCACAGGTGTCGAGGTTTAGAATGACATGTCAAGGAAAAATTATTAAAACTGTTGCGAATATTCTTGAAACTGATAAAGTTTTGAGAAAAAATATTAAAGATAATTATATTCATTATATATTATTATCTCGCTTTCGAATATCTACTGCAATTTAACGAATTAAATTTTCTTCAAATGTTACATAAATTGAAAAAAATGTCTGACCTATATAATAGAAAAAGATTCTTTATTATTCCAAAAGTAGTAAATTTGATTTTTATCCATAAACACTCTTCTATAAATACACACTTTAGATTTTAAACGTTCGCTTTTTATACGCAATTTCTCGGATATAATGCATAATTTTTAAATTAATTTTTACATTAAATCACTTTCTTCCTAAATTTCGTAAACACTAATCAAATGTTTTCGATCGTATCAAATTAAATAAATGACAGTAGCTTACGTGAATTATAATTCGTAACCAAACAGTTGTTTAATTTTTCCATTTAATTTTGGATTGTCCTCAAAAAACAATGTATGGCTCTTGATGACCTCGTCTGTAATTTAATCACTCGCGTTAAAATGCAATAAATAGCGAATGTGGGTTATCGCTGCTATAAGTTCGGTCATATAGCCTATGACACAATATGTGTGTCGTTGAATTTTACGAGTGATGCCTTGGTAGGCAGACGCTGATGATGCTTCAACGATTTATTACCAACAGCAAGGGATCTTCGATTTATTCGCGCGACCGATTTTTCGCTCGCAATTAGAGTAGCAAATCCCTCCCGTGAAAATAAATTACTCGTTCACACTTCGTTAACTCGGCTTCCATAGTGCTCTGAGACAGGTGATCGCTATCGCGAGCGAGATTTCTGGTAATTTGTACTATGCCCCCGCCATTAGAACGGCAATTAAGTGCATAAAGGAATTGTAAAATTGTGGCGTACGCGCACTCGACTTTTACGGAGTCCGAGTGGATCTTTAATTATCTTATATGCCTTGCGGGCTCTATAGAGGAGTTTTACATTTCTCTAGAGATTTCTTTGCATTTCTTTGATTTCTTATTAACTTGTAACTCGGTCGAAAAAAGACCGCATCCATTATGCAAGACATTTCTTCGCGCGCATTGTATTAACCTATTTGTAATCGTAACACTATTATTAAGATTGATTATTATTTTTAATTACAAACTAATGGAAAAGAGAGCCATTTGAATGACTTTCATGCGCTATGTCAAAACTGAAAAAATGCTTTTGTAAAAAATATTATGTTGAAAAGAAAGAGAGATGTAATGGTATCTTGTTGGATTAAAATAGTTTGCAATTTAGCATAACATAAATTTCAATCAATACAAATAAGAGAAAGAGAGAGAAGAGATAAAAAAAATTAATAAAAATTGAAAAATTGCATCTATTGTTAAGTTTTCCTTATAAAAAATACACGACGAATTAATAAAAAGTATTTACACAAAATATTCCCTACATTTGAATTAAACTTGAAAGATCTTATATAAAAGAGCTGCATATTTCATATCATTACTTTTATGTTGAATAACAGAAACTCTGTTACGACATCCATTTATTCGCACGAGTCCCTTCGCATAAAAACAATTTTTATCCTTCTGTGTGTTAGCTACATCTGACACAAGGAATGAAAGATTATATTCGTATCTCGTAACCGAACCGCGTCTCGAGGCTTTCGTATCGTAAGAAAGTTGAGAGCTACCGGCGCTCTTTTTTTGCGGTGAAGCCGCATAAGATAAACGATGGAGAACAGGTACGAGACGGTACGACCTAAGCGGATTACACCCGCGCCGGACGAAACGCGCGCGTGCCCGTCGCGCAAAGAGGAAGTTGGCAAAATATCCTTTCCATGTGCTATTCGCGATGCAGCTGCATGGGAAACGCACGCGTCGCGCTCCCACATTCGTAATTCGCATAATAAATGGCGTAATGAGCCCTTGCAGGTTCCCACGAATGTCGCGGTTTGAGAGCTCAAGAGTGCTCGTCGATCAAGCACGATGTCGAGAATAAACGAAATCTTCTCAATAAAATGCGCAGGGATGTCACTGTAAGCTCTCATTTTATGTTAATTGTTACAAATTACTAAATATGTTCTTTTTTCTTACTTAATAGAGGTAGGTTGAGGAAAATTAATCTTTTGTCGCAAGAATACGCATTAAGTTATTATCGCAAATTGTTTTAAAAAACTTTTTTAAAATTTTTATTTTAGAACATATTGTATACGCTTCTCTCTTCACTTTCGTTTAACATCTTATTTATCACTAATTATCAATTTGCAAGAAAAAAACGATGAAAAAAGACTAGTAATTACGAATTAATGTCCAAAGATTCGTGACAGAATCTTGAAGATGGAATGATTTCACTTTTTGAGGGTCATTAAGTATGAAAGAGTTAAGCGTTCGTTTCAGGGATGTCTTGAGAGATTGTCTAGATGAAAAATATTCCTCAGCATTTTTTTTAATCCTCCTAATAATGGCTCGATCATCAAAGAACAAACGTGGCGTGGAATATTAAGACGATTGTATGTCAACTAAGCACGTGATTGTCGTTATCCCATTTTGCCGAAGCCTGGCAAGCAACTACTTTTTTTTTGTTTGTTTCCCATCGGAGGCATTAGCCTTACGAATACATTTAATAGCCCCAGACAAAATATGCATTTTTTTTCTCCTCCAGCCGATCTTTGAATTAACGAAACACAAAGTCATTCAAGAAAAATGTATATATTCATAAATATTTGTTACAGATCTTTTAAGTCCCATGTCATAAAGCGAATAAATTTTGTTTCGCGAGTTTCTCTTGCATTTTATACTAAATAACCGCAAACATATCTTTAACAAAATAAATATAATTAGTTTCTCAGTTTTATGTTAAACAATTTTTGTTATTAGTTCGAAAAAAAGACACGAGAAAAGAAGATTTATAACATAAAAAATTTATTGCTAAGATAGACTTTTGTCATTTAAAGGAGATGAA